CAGCAGCGGCTCAGAGCCAGTGGGAGCGCTTCAGCGCCCATTCTAGACTTCCAAAACAAAGTCATTGACAATTCAGTGCCCAGGAGTAGTGCCCCCATGCCTAGATACATTTGTTTCCAGTTTCGGAAGTAGAGAACGCGACAATCCAGTACTGATTCTATTGTTCAGTGTTTATATTTCAGTTTCGCTACAGGAAGACAAACGATCGTTGAGTAAATACAAACGAGGAAACGAGTACGTGATGTTAGATTTATATTTTGTCATGTGTGATAGAGAAGGGAAATAATTCCTGAAGTGTTACAAGAACTAGAGAGGCTTGATTGTAAAGTAATTTTTACCATTATCCTCATTTATTTAGAGTGATTTCTCGATGTAGTGTGGCTCCATGGTTTTTTTGTATTCCCGGATTTTTCATGTTAAATCATTTATTTTTTTTAATGTTTCTTCATTTGTGTGTTCCTGTTCAAAGTTTTTTTTTGGATTTCTCGAATCAATTTTCGCGCTTTAATCATATATCTCCCACAAAAATTGGTATCAAAGTGGGGTTTTCTGAAAATTTTGGTTTGAGCAGGACAATGACCGACGAAGCAAGGTATAAGTTGAAGAAGTTCAATAGTTCAAACTTTGCTCTCTGGAAAATGCAAATTGAAGATTTATAGTATGAAGAAAATTGTGTTTGCCAATAAATAGAATCACGAAGAAGTCAGTACCGATGAATATGGAAGAATGGTAAGTTCTTGATCAACAACACTAGGTTTGATCTAAATTTTATTATCCTCATTTGTTGCTTTCAAAATTGTGAATGAGAAGACTAATGTTGATCTTATATTTGCACTAACAAGAATGTATCCAATAAAAAATAAAATTATGAAGAAATTATTCAATATGAAGAGGGTGGATGACAGTTCAATAGTTGAATAGTTGAATAACTTCAAAACTATGACAAACAAGTTGTGTTTTGTTGGCATCAAGTTTGATGACGAGATTAGGGCGTTGTTAATCCTATCGTTATTGCCAGATAGTTGGGATGAACTAGTTCTTACGGTGAGCAACTCTTCAAATAACATGTAATCAAATTTTGATAATATTGTCGGGTTAGTGTTGAATAAAGAAGTTCACAATAACGCTAGTGGTGAAACCTCAAATTCTAATTTGAATGTTGAAGCTAGCAGTAGAAATCTGGATTGAAACACAATTTGAGAGGTTCAAGCCCAGGAGAGAAAATTCCAAGTCAAGAAGAGGAAATAACAAAGGTGAACGCTTAAAGTACGGGTTGAAAGATCACCTCAATGAGTGTGAATCTCCAAAG